TATATATGAGCTGATGTTTCGAAGAAAAAGCTTAACTTGATCGTTGCGAACTGATTGGGTATGGTAACATGGGTAACGAGCACCTTATTAACGCGCACCAAACGAATTGTTCGTGAAAAAAGTATAGAGTCAGCCATTTAAATTTAGACAATTTTGATTAACGTAAATTTGAAGAAATTCTTGCATTGTATAGATGATGTTAAGATATACTAATATTAATATTAGAATTGATTTTATTGCCAAAATTTTATTCCAAAACATTTTTTCGAAAAACGTCTCAATTTCAGAAACTGAAAATGACTGGTCGCCCTTTTATTACATATGAGTTATAAATTCCCCTTATGCGTTCCTGAATTCAACATATCATTGAGTCAGAAAAACTAATTTTCAATTGGCTACGAGATAAGTGTGTGCATGCTGGCAATTCTGTAAGTTTTAAATTTTTCTTAGGAAGTAGCTAGTCCTAGAAGCACATCCGTGCTGATCAGTGCTTGTATACGATGAGTCTAAATAAACAAAGACTACTCATAGTTTCAAAGTTACTAGTTATCAATTTGATACCTTCCTAAGTTGACGAAATAGTTGTGTTGATTTATTTAGTTAGAATACTGATATCCACCTTTGTCACAGCACAAAATATAGATCGCGGGTGGTCCTGAAGGAAAAGCACATATCTTAATACTTGCGATGCTGAATCCCTGGATCATCCAGCGATTGATTATCATCGCGTCGTTAGCCTGGAAGCTCACCTCATAGACGAGCCTGGAAACGAGCGCCTATAGCGGTATGCACTCATTTGTGCCAAAGGGGAAGACCGATTCGATTAGTAATGATATTTATCTATCAAGCATACTTGGCGTATCTGATATGGTAAATGTATCGCATATTATTATCAGAAGAACGCTAAATATGTATGTGTGGCCCAAATGAGTCTGTATCCTCAATGAAACGATTAGCCGATGGCGCAAAACCGAAGTGAGGCATGCATAATAGACGCAGATCCTTTTCCTCCAAGGCTATATATAATCATAATAATTAAAATATCAGTCATATAATATATATATATACAACTGATATTTTCCTTTTCTTTCTCTGCTTCCAAGAATATCTCAACGGAACAAAGCAAAGTTGTAAAAATGAATTTTGCCAGTGAGCCAGCTCCTTGATGACAACTAAAACGACGCCGGCAGTCCATAAAAAATGTAATATTACTATAATATAATGCGAGTATTTGTATTGCTGTTGTAAATTATTCTAGCAGAATTCATTCATATGTAGATTTAACACATAAACAGAAGTTTAGCTGTCTAACTTTCAAAGAGCCATGGGCGATGGCTCAGGACGAGCTCTATCAAGCAAGCGTAACCAGCGCGTGTGGTTAGTAACGCCAGTTTGACAACAACAACAACAAGAACAGGCAACACGACGAGATAACCCTGCTACAATGACACAAGCGTTCTTCAGCGTTTCAGGGCAGGTCGCGACTCGTTTTAGTCAGGGCAAGCCAACGACGAGTCACGAGACTGCGCGGCGACCAACGTCACGAGACAGTCAACAAGGAAATATGTGCGACGCAGGATATATAGTCAGTTAGACAACATGCACAGTCACAGATGCAAATGTAAAGAGGGAAAATAAGGGGCCAACTGACGAAGGGTGGAGCGTCCACGAGGTAACCGATGGCGGGAGGAGCATGAACGATTGTGATTGCGACAACAATGGCGACAACGATTTGGCTTCTTAACTTGAACAACAGCTTGAGTTGGGTCTCACAGCGGCTGGTGATGGCAGCTTGAGCAGAAGTTCCATTCGTCTGTTAATAGGGAGTTGGGAGCTGGTTTTCACAATAATCGTATTATTGTTGTAGCTGCGGTCGGAGCAGTAACCGAGAGCTGAAACTTCCTCCTCATCCTGATTTTTGTCGCTGTAAAACCTGTGATGCGGATGGAAGATGGCATGGTGGATGCTCGATTAACGTTGCCACGTTCCTGCAGCTGCTTCACAGAAGACTATGACTGAAGATTGAGCACCGAAAAGCAAACGAATCGAGCAGAAATTACAGTGGCTAGTAACACAGGCTAGCGGCTTATCAGGGCCCGAGGACGAAAATGCGATGGCATCGGTTAATATAAAGGTACATGCTGGAAGCTGGGACGATTGTGCTAAGGCCAAATTGGCCACATGCATACAAAAGGATCGATTGTGATTATGGTTTTGCCGCGGTCATCGCTGTCGACACCATCAACAATGAAGTCTAATAGAGCGGAACAATAGCTCAATTGAATGCTTACGCTATAAATTCAGAATCGAAAATCTTAGAGACGATAAACAAATTGCTATATATAATTAGGAAAAAAAAGATTACAACTACAGATATAAAGCCGAATGTTTTATCTGGCATCGTGCACTTAATTAGTGTTCTTATGCGTGATTACTAGACAGAAAAATCATAATAGGTGTCAACTAAAAGTTTGTGTTTTGTTGTTTAACATGTTGAATTCAGTTACATAGAGGAAGCATTTTTTGGACCATGTTTGTTGTTAACAGTTCGATGACCTGGTGTTTACCGCGTATTTTTATACCAGGTACCCGTTTTCAAAATAAGCGCACTATAATTTTAAATATTATGCAAAAAATTATTTAATTTTAAGCACATATATATGCTACTCTTAGAAAACTACTATGATTGTGAAAATAAAGCAAGTCTAAATAACGTGCTAAAACGATGTCGTTTTGTTTCTATATGAATTTTTTAGTCCAGTTGTTACTATCTTTTTTTTTATGGATAAATTAGCAGTATATTGATTGCATTTAGATATCACTGATGCCATATCTATACGTTATTTTATATATACGGGCTTAAACTTCTATTTCCTGTGTCCATTAGCTCCATGCATCGGTACTACGAAAAGGGTAATCATCTTCTACCAAAGGCGTCCGAGAGGCTAGTAATTTTTAATGTAATGTGATTGAGAAGAAATGTTCAAGGTTATATTCGGTCCTTTTTCGGTATTTCGGAGGCCCAGACGTATCTGCCAAATATAGAACGCGTTGGGTTAGTATAAGTTGCTTTCTAGCATCTTCGCGCACGAATACAACCGAATACTTTCATTTACTAAATCGCAGTAACGCTTCCCATTGATAACCATCGCCTCTACGCAGTTTCTAATGATTTTTTAATTTGTAACGAGCACAACGAAAGGGGGTCAATCAAAATTATTCTTTTTCTCTTTTTACTGTATAGCTATTATTTAGGACAACGATTATCATGTGATCGGCCTCCCACCATACGTTAAGCCTAACCGGCGCGATTCCCTGGACCTGTCGGACGCCTTAGTGTAACCATCGCTTTATGCTGGCGTGTTGTCCTGTTATGTTACCTTTGGATTTCAATGAATTCCATAAACACGAAATATAAGACCTTAGCCTCATGTTTTCCTAATGACAATTCAAGTACTATCAGTCTAGTATAGTAAATGGACAACTCCATAAACAAATTCTACAAAATAAATAGGAACGTACCCTTCGTAGCGCCAGTTTTTTTTTTCGCTTTTTATTCCCTAGTTCCCCTGCAGCTTTCAGGACACGCTTGGGTTATCCTACGAGGACGGGAACATTCCGTCTGACGTATTGTAGGAAAGACGTAATCATTTATCCAGAAGTGCCATACGCTCAATGACACCCAACATGAAATGACGCGCGATCACGCTACAAAGCAACAGATAAACATCACTTGATGCAGCGAAGCGTCCGCCACTGAAATAGCGACGCAAAGGCAACGCTAGCTAAGAGGTACACTTCAACGACGAGCTCAAGTGATGGGCAGGGTTCGAGTCGGCTTGTTTGGTGTGTTCTTCAAATTCACCGTGTCCATTTCTTTGCAGATATACATCGGGTTCTAATAAACAGACTCAAAGCTCTGCGATATTTTTAATTTTTAATGAAAAATCAGACGATTTTAAGGAAGCATATGTGGGAGAGAGGGCGAGATATGATTGAGAGATGTGATTTGTCTTAACAAGTGACAATTTGTAGCACACAAAGCTTACCTATGGGAAGCGTGTGTGTATATGGTATTGAGACATAAGAATTTTAATGGATCGTCTATTGGTTGTGGTCAATTACGCGTTTGGTAAGAAAAAGGCGTTTTTGGCACAGCTTTATTTTGCGTCATTAAATCTTTGCTTCGCTCGGCTTCTACTTCCCTTTTTTTTGTATACAACTGCTAAGCAATTTGACTGTTTGATTATGTCTCCCCGCCGTGCAGTTATTGATGCCGCATGACTCCGACTAAGCAAATCAAAGATATCTCGATGTTCATCTAGCGAGGATCATTATCTTCATAGAGAAGAGAACAAAACATTTGACAAGCAGGATTTCTATACGATGACGAGGCCGTCTCCTGCGAGTGCCACCACATAAATGTGGCAGGTGGATCACGGACTGATAGCGATCGCAGTTGTGGCTAAAGCTGATTCTAACGGCTCACGCCAGCCATCGGTCGATCGAGCGAACGCATGTTGGCGAACGTGTGTATGATCCATGATTGTAATAACGTTATTATGACTCTTACTATAATTAAGTTATTAGACCATGTCGAGGTATAGAGGAGTATCAAGTACGCTACGTATCATGGTTAGAAGAGACAGTGCATAATACTAATGCGGTGTTTGTGTGTCCGCGTAATTACGTTAAGTTGATAAAACCGAACGGTGGCTGGGCTTTGCCGATTGCGGTGTCAGACTGGGCGACCCCAGCACGCTGGATAGAGCCGGCCATGCACGCTCCGCTTGTGGGCACATGGGTATCTGTGCTTGCGTGTATATTCGCGGAGAATGGCAATGCCGATTATAAAGGTCTAGCTAATTAGATGATTATTGCGATGTTAGATAATCTTCTGCCAATTATAGTTGAGCGTATGGGTGAGATGAGAGCCGCTTAAGCTGTGGCAGCTTTTAGCTTCTGCTGGTTTTTCCTTTGCTCTGAATAGTACCACTGTGGCTGTTCCTGGAAATTTTCGACAGGCTGATGACCATAATAGACTCGCTCGTTATGGGGAAGAAACGAACGCGACGTTACTGTGATAAATAGATAATATCGCGCTGCCAATTGGGCTCGTATACGCGCGTCGACGAGATGAGTAACTTAGAAGCGTTCAGCCGGCGGTCGGTGTTAGGTCTACAACGTCGTTCCATTTTTCGTCTGTAGATGTTTTTGTTTATTATTTAGATTTGCGTTGAATGACAGACGTATGCACTACGCTCAACGATGGTGAAGGTCAGTTTTTCGGCAGTGGCTGGGGGTACTGAGCCTACACGCTGAAGCCTTTCCTACCCACACGAATCTAGTTAAATCACCCCTTTTCACGGAATTTTAAAGTGCCGCCTCTAACCACTACAAAGCAATGAGTATTTGTTTGTGTATACGCTAGATGACTGCTATATGGTCACCGACCGTAGCCGAAATGGCGCGGTGCCTATGTATGTATATGACAGAAACGGCAGAAACGCATGCCCCAATATACATGCACGTACAGAGTTCCAAACCGTGCTGCCGAGCTGGACGAATAGATCTGACTGCCCGAGTTAGGGAAATCTGTGAATCCACAGGATGAAAAAGCGATCAATTTCTCTGACGGATTCACTGTAAACCAGCCAGCGCACGGATTATCCGTCGCGAACCAGCCGAAAAAATCTGGAGGCATCACTATTACGTATAGATCGGATCGTCACCACCAGCAGCAAGAGCAGCTCTGCGAATTTAAGAAGGCCAAAAAGATAGAAAAGCGTCTGTGTCCCCCCCCCCCCCCCTTCCTATACGTATGTGTGTGCAACAGGAAAAATAAGGCAGCGTACAATTTGACCGTTTTGTCATTCTTATATGTAATAATATTTGTTGTGTTGTTATTTCTCGTTGTTTCGGTTGCTAGTACTGATTACTTGTTTCTTCCATAATACTTAGTTGTTTATCGTTGCTTATTCTGACTCGTTCGGCTTTTTCTGCCGGTCATCATTTTGCAGGAACGGCAAGGTTACAGGCAAAGGGGCTAAGGGTCGCTATTATCTGATAACGAATGTAGTCAACGAGGGAATCCGAAATGATTGTGATTTGCCAAAAGCGTCCGAATCGCAAAATTTCACCCTCTTGTCTTGTTATTGACAGAGAGCAAACGGATGCTGACGCTATTTGTCCGCTGTGAACCACCCCGCGCTGGTCACTTGTTCTTAATTTCTTGCTATTTTCTGCTGTGTTATTGTGATGTCGCTGCGTCGTGCTCGATTCATTCGCGGCAACGGTGGCGTCGAAGCGATCGATCACGGTTAAAACGGTCGTTGTCAGTAAAAATGTGCTCATTGTGCGGTTATTTGACAACACGATAGAACTACGTGGATAATCTTCCAGCCAACGGATGTGGGATGCTCACGAAAAAGATACGTGCCAAAAAAATTTATCGCGCAGCGTATTTTTCTATAGGCTAAATGATAGGTTTGCGACGGTCGCAGGTGTAGCCTTTTTCCCAATGCGATTGAAATATATATGAAAAGTCCTGTATCATGACGTACCTAGTGATGGGATGCTTCATGTGAAATCTCATCGTCACATTAGTAGTGTGTGAATTAGTCTTGGCGTGGCTCTTCGAAGCATGCCCCGAGTCTGCTTAAGATTGAACGTAATCAAGCGCCAGACTTTTCGCTGGAAAAGCACGACGGTGTGTTGCTGACACCTAGTTGAAACAAACTTTGATACTAGATAAACAACTTCTAATAAAAATGTGAGAGTGATAACAATTACAAATGAAACAAATATTACCCAGCATGTATGTTAACGAGCATTTCTCTAGGCTGCATCTTACGAGCGACGAAAAGACTGAGAGCTCTGACACTTTTATTGTCGTCGTTCATCCGATCTCTGAGCTACGCTTTAGACTCGGGTATGCTTAGTAATAATTTTAGCTTTGTTGCAACCTTTTCCGGTAAACCATACATGCACAAGACGCTCATGATCAAACGAAAAATAAAAACATCGCAAGGGAAAAAGACCTTAAAAAGGCTTTAAAAGTAAATTACCACAAACCAGAAATAAAGGTTAAACTTCTATATTATGACTCTTCATCAAGCGGTTTCAGCTAACTGCTTCAGCCGTACGGCAGGGTCCCGTCTCTCAGATACGCATTGGCAGAAAGCAATTGTTTCATACAAACTCCTCTATATAACCGTTGTATTTAGAGTGGCAACACCTTAATAGTAACAGGAAAAATAGTTATAGTGATAAGGCCATTAAATTGGTATGAATTTATTTTCCCGCACGCGTCTGCATTTATTCGAGAACTACAGGTGCGCTCGAACTTCCAACTTGTCAAGTAGCAAGCTGTCGTGCCTGACGTTTTTTTTCCCAAACGTGTTATCACTGAAATTAATGATGGCACTAACTTGCAGCTGAAACTCAACAAGCGCACTAAAAAATGAAGAAAGTAGGATACAGCGTGATAAAAAAATCCTACTTCAGCTTCAGTGATCCGCTGCTGTGTGGACGCAGAGAGTATTTTCAGTGGGGTTCGCTTCCCTGCCCAAGCTGAAAATAGTGTCCGCAAGAGACTGCGCTAATTTAATCAGACGACGACGATGACAAAGCAGGATACAACCGAAAGCAGTGGCTGTCAACTTGGCCGCAG